GACACAGGAGCACAAGTTCAGTGGTCTCTATGGCATCTGTTGAAAGCAATTGGGCTTGCTGTTTGATAAAAGTTCAAAGCTCCAAATGGAGTTGGAACCATACTGGAGCTCCAACTAGATTAAGAGTGAAAGTCACAACCCCACAAATGGGTTCAAGACAGTGCCAAGACTTCTTTCCCTGCCAGCAAGGGAAAATGTTGAGATTTCTGTGTCAACAGAATACACCAATGATAGTAAAATGGTCAAAATGTTTCTTTGCTCCTTCTTATGAAACCAGAGACCTACACTGTATATGCACATGCGTGAATGTAAATTCTAAGTAAACTTTATCCATTATTTTACACAAATGACTGTCATGCACCAGGGACTGGCTGGAGATGGGAGCTTGGCTCCAAAGACAAAGTTAGTGGTGTTTAGCCTTTGAAGTGAAAGTGGTTTCTTTTATCCCCCTTCTCTTCTTTTACTAGCAATGAAAAGGAGTTTAAAGAAAAACAAGAAAGTTGGTGAGAAAGATTTTTCCGCAGTGCACACGATGAGATGCTATTTGGTGTAACTGCCTATTCAGAAAGTTTAGCTCCCTTAAGGGGATTACTACCATTACCTGAATGCATCTTATTTTCTTTGGCTGGTTGATTATATAAGTCCACTGTGAAGAATTTAAGTATACTATCCTCTGTTGTAATAATACCAAGCATTAACTGAAAAAGAGACGGTGAGAAGGTAAATGGTTCACATACAATAGAATGGCAGAAAAAGTTTTGAGACTACTCTGAAAACTATAAAAAATCAAAGATATTTTGCAAAGACAATAGGGAATTTAATGCCAAACTACATTTCCTTTCAAGAATGAATGAGTAAAGCCTTTATTATGTGCTTACTATGAGGGTTTAAAAATCTAACCCAGCTAATCTCCTACACTGCAAACCAAAAGAGGGACACAGCCACTGAGACTTGAACAAAACTGTTAAGGAAGACTCTTACACAGTGGGATACATGTGAAAATAACAATAAGGTAGCTTTTTGATCTGGCTTTATTATCAAAGGATCATATAGGTCTTGAGCTGGAAAGAACCTCCGAGGCCACTTGTCCAACACTCTCATTCTGCAGATGAGTAAAGTTAAGTGATTTGCTCAAGATCATACAGGTAGTAATTATCACCTGTGAGATCTGAATACAAATCATACAAATTGAATACAAATACAATCCTCTTTTAAGATCACATTTCCTTTATCTGTAGTCATACCAAAATCTCATCTTTTTACTTTTGCATTAATGCTTTTTAATTTACAAAAATGGTAAATATTAAAGACAATCTTTATTTTTCCTAAAGTTGGAGGGGGGCTTCTGAAAGAGTATGTTGGCTGACAAGTCCAGTGGTCATATAATTGATAGGAATAGTATGATTCTTTGTGGCAAAATTTACCCCAATTTCCTAGTTGATTTCAGATTTGTTGAGCCAGTTCTATCCTTGATTATTGTCAAAGGTTCTCAGTAGTACTGGGCTTTTTATCATTTTCATGACTATTCAGGCTCAGGAAAATGGAAGAGCAGGAGGCTGGTCCCCTTCTCCTATCTCTCATTTTCACTTGCTGAAACTCAACCCACCCTTAAAGTCCCAGATCAAATGATCTCTTCTCTATGAAGTCTTTCCTGATTCACTCCCTGATCTCTCCCTTTCCATCCCTCTGGACTCATGATAGGAGAGAAGTGATTTCTCCCTTCCAAATCCTATGAAGTAATTTGTTGTATTTTTCTTACATACTCCTTATAGCCTATTTTGTATTTTAACTATCATGTAATTCTTATTCCCCCTACTAGATAGGAACATTCTTGAGGTCTGATATCTTCATATTTTCCTCAACGCCTATACCACAGTTATCTGCAAATGTCTGTTGAATAGATGAACAAATGGTTTAAGTTTCCAGGCAGAGAAAGAAGACAGATAATTTTTCTGATTTAAAAAATTCCCCCTGGGACTTGTCGGCTGATTTGTCTCATTACATTTTCATGTTCTGTATTGGAAGGTTCTTTAAGAAAGAGTCTTTGACAACAAAGAAACACTTGATTCAATTATTGTTCCTTCCCTTTGCCCTCAAGGACAAAACCAGTATTTTGTCCGTGTGAGAAAGCCTCCAAATATAAGGGACAAGATAAAGAAACATTTAGTCAAAATGGTTCCATAAACTCTTCAGAAGCAACATAACTTTTCAAAGGACTTCCATCTGAAAGGTTCAATGAAGACATTTGATGACTAGAGAGAATCATATCTTCTGAGTGTCCTAAAACACTGTCAACCTGGCAAGAAATTTTGGCCACCGTAAGACAATGGTTTACTTCTATAGCTCTAAAGAATGGAATCATTTTGGCACATTGTACTTAGAGGACTTAAAAGAATTCATTCATAAAAATGCCTGAAAATGTGGTTAAAAATGAAAACAAATAAAAAAAGAAACTATTTACAAGCATCCTCCTAAATATTTTTCAATTGCCTAGAACCACACAGACAAAAATGGCCAGGACAAAGCCTAAGACTTGTCTTAGGGGAGAAAGAGAGGTAATTCATTTTATTAACTAGTGCCAAATCCAGCTGTAGTTTACTTGACCATCGGCCAGTGTTATGACAGCATTTAATTCCTCTTGTGTTTACAGAAAGCCTTTCTGAAACCTAATGCCAGTTTCATGCACTCCCTCCACCTGAATGGTCTTTCAGCATTTTCAAAAGGTGACCAAAATGATTTTTTTAAAAAAAAATCACCTTCTTACACTCTCCAAAGAAGTGGCAAATCAATGAGTCCAAATATAGACCAGATGGCATCAGGACAGGAGGGCATTATTCAAAATAACTCTCAAACTGGAAAAGAGACACAGTATTATGACACTCCTTTCCCAAGAGCTCTCCTCTGGTGAAAGAATGAAAATGATGAACAGCTCTTTAATGCTTCAGACAGCAGAATTCCAATACGGGAACATGACTATATGAGCACTTGACTCCATTAATGATCTCATTCAATCATTCAGGGTAAAGCCTGTGCACTCCATGAGCCTAACTCCACAGTATTGTTTTACTCACAGCCAGATATTAATGTCACATCTGAAGGCATCAATCAGGGCAGGTAAAAAGAAAATGGTAAAGTAACATGGGCTAAGTAGAAAAAACATATTTGAGATAATTTTCAAGCAAAAATGAAATGCTAATTAACACTTAATTTGCTTTGCTTGGGACCTATGGGTCTACACATCAAAGCAGATGTTAAGTCACAAAGCAATGCACTAGTTTGTGTCCTACCCCCATTCTAATTAAAAAAGAAATTTATCCCACATAACTTTTTAATATATGTCCACCCTCTATTTAAACAGTGCATGCAAATCTCTGCACAGTTATTACTGCATTATAAGCTTATTGTTCTCCACTGAAATCTTTCTGGGTAGGGAAGAGTCAATCAAATTTCAACTTAGTTTATGGACATGTAAATTAGAGTCAGTAACTGGATGATGCAAGTATGCATTATTACCTAGTGTGAAAATCCATAGGCAAGACACTGTGATGTCCTATCAAAGGAACTGGCTTTTGTCTCAGTCACTGTGCTGATTCCTTCTTGTCACTCGTCACTCTCTCTAGGTTAGACAGCTGTCCGTGGCAATTGACTGAAGCCCCACCAATTGCTTGTCATTCAAAAGCCCAGAAAATTTTACATACATATGTATGACTAACACATATACAGATATACAGATGTATAAATATATATATATATGACTAGACTTAACATTAAAAATGAGAGGAATGACATATAAAACAAATACAATAAGCACCAATGCCTTACAGAGTAGGTGTTATTGTAATATATGTTTTCCTTCCCCCCCCCTTTTTGATCAAATTGCATGTAATACTTTAAGTAAATTTGACATGTTTCATTTCACAAATTACACTTGTTAGGAAAGCTCTTTTCACTACTTAGCCCAACATCTTTATTAGTTAGTAAGATATTTTTAAACACTAAGCTATTTCTTTGATCCTTAAGGTTTGGTAAAAACCTGGAATACATTTTGATCTCTTGTTTTCTCATTTAATTTCACAATGCTAAGATACCTTCCAAAAGCAGGGAATTCTAGTGCTACAGGCAAGTTTCAACTTCATTCCTGTACCCGAAAAAGATATAATATCCTTTTATCCACAGGATGTCAGAAAATCCTGAACTATAAAACTGATTACTATACGCTGAAAAAAAAAAAAGCAGCCATTCACAGGGGGTATACACAGCAGTCCTGTTCCTCAGCTTTGCCAGGCCATGATTGATACTTGGCCCACATCCCTTGGAGCAGCTCCAGGAATGTGAGCTTGGACCAAGGCAGTCTCAGGGGCTGCTTCTAGTTATCACCATTCTAGGACTTCAGTGCCAAAGATGCTCAGGCAGGCAGGGAAGAGTTATCGAAAATCTCAAATCTGTTTTCAAAAGAAGGTCTTAAAAATCCAGTCTCTAAGTGAAAACTATGTACTTTTTAAACTAGTCAGAATTTTTATGTAGCGAATGTCATTCCACAATGATATGGGATAAGAATTCTGGTTAATATTCTGGTTTTTAGCCCGGACATATATGCCATATACAGATTGTTAAATTTCAAACAAATAAATCCAGTAAGTAGCTCATATTTACTCTCTTCTTCATGATTCAGAAAACCACTCCAGATCTCAGAATGCTTTGTCGTAATACTGATGAACCTCAGCTCCCATGGTTAAGAACCTTAGCTATGTGGCAGTGCTGGCTAAGGAACAGTTTCAATTTCAGTTGGATGGATGTGTTTTCATTATAAATATCAAACACTTCACATAACATTCAGCTAGCTTAGACAAACTCTGAGGGTTCTTTTGATTCCTGGCCTTTGCTTTTCTTCCTCTTTCTTGATGTAGGCAGGTAACAATAGCTGTGATTGCTGTCAAAGATAGTAAGTAACAAAGAGCCCCTCTGGAAACCACATTGACCCACCAGGAGGAAGCACTAACCTGCCCAAGCATGTCTGGTGCAAGGGGGATGACGGGCCAGAAGGTCGAGTAGACTCCAAAAAATGCCATCCAGAGCACTATACTTCCCCAAACAGCCAGGTGACTAAACTACAGAAGAAAAAAAAACAGAGAAAAATAAGTCAGTTCTTTCTACTCTGAAAGGTTTGGCTTACTATACACCTCCTTCAGCTCTGGTATTCCTCTCCCTTCAAGTGAATGTTCCTGCCTCTGTATAACTTTCCATTCTTTGCTCAAACCAAAGATTTTTAGCTATGGATTCAAGTGACATCTGACAAAAGGAGTAATAATGATGATCTTGTACATATAACACTTTCCTCACAACAATCTTTCAAGGATGGCACTCTCTCTTTAAGTGCTAAGTGGAGGTGTGTATGGCCGGAGTTGTCTTTGGGCTTTAGGATGAGTAATATAATTTGCATCAGAAACTGCCAAGATAAGGAGACAAAAATATCCGGCAGAAATAAATTTTAGATTATCACTAGAGGAAGGAAGAAACCTTTTCCAGAAAGATACTTTTCTATATTTCTTAGAAATACTATTTTTGTTTTTATTAATAATATTCCCTGTAATGGAGCTCTAAGATTCATAAAGTACTTTCTATCACAAGCCTGTGAATGAGGTAGTGTACCTATTATTATCTTCATTCTATAGAGTAGAAAACTGAGGCTCAGAAGTTTTAATAACTTGCCCCAGGTCAGAAATAAAAGCTGGAATCTGAGCTGGAGTCTCTTCTGAATTGGGGACAAAGTTCTAATGCTTTTTTTTTTTCATAACACCAAAGCGGAAAAAAAAAGTTTAAAGGATCCATATGCAAAATTCAATTAGCTAAACATTAGCAAAGTACAGACATTTAAGGATGGATTAGAATTAAAGACAGTAGAGTCATACATGGAAAAAATATTAGACTCGGGGCTAGGCACTGGGTTTGGAATCACAGCTCTGACATTTACTAGGTGGGTAACCACAGCCACATGATTCCCTGCTACGAACCTCAGTCTCCTTATTTGTAAAAATGGAGACTATATAGCTTTTACTACCTACAAATAACAGCGTTGTTATGAAGGAAGTGCTTTAAAAACTTTCAAGTACTCTAAAAATGTGATTTTAATTTTGTTGTTGTACAGTGGTTTCAGTTACATCTAACCTTTTGTGACCCCATTTGGGGTTTTCTTCACAAAGAGACTGGAGTGGTTTGCCATTCCCTTCTCCAGCTCATTTTACAGTTGAGGAAACTGAGACAAACAGGGTTAAGTGATTTGCCCAAGGTCACACAGCTAGTAAGTGACTGAGGCCCTTGAGTCCAGGGCTGGCATTCTATCTTCCTCTGCTCTGTGATTTTAATAGTTGTACCTGATTGCATCAGATCGTGCCTAAAATTAACCACCCTGTCAACATGGACTCATTAAGTGTGCATGATATTTCAGGCTCTCTGCTCAGTTCTGAGAATACAAGGATGGTAAAGTCCCTGCTCTCAAGAAGCTTGCATTATATCAGGGGAGATTATATATATATATGTTAACATATATAACGTATATGCAAAAGAAATGCAAGGTGGGGGGGCAGAGCCAAGATGGCCAAGTGAAAGCAGTGACTTGCTTGAGCTCTCCCCCAAATCCCTCCAAATACTCATAAAAAATGGCTCTAAACAAATTCTGAAGCAGCAGAACCCACAAAAAGACAGAGTAAAACAAATTTCCAGCCCAAGACAACCTGGATGATTGATCAGAAAGGTATATTGCGCCAGGCTGGGAGTGCAGCGTGGGCGCGCAGGCCACAGCAAACCTGGAGCAGGCCTCACAGGACTGAATCGCGGGCAGCTGTGGAGGTTTCCAGACTCCTCAATCCATCAATGCCAAAGACAACTTAGAAGGTCAGTAGGACAAGTCTGTTTCTGTGGGTGCTGAGAGAGGAAGGCGGGTTTCAGCTCCATTCCCCAAGAGCGTGGCCCTGGGGGGGCAGCTGCTTCCCAAGCTTCCGGCCCACAGACTGAGGGGGAAATCCAGTGGCTGATCAGAGAGGGACTGCAGGGATCTCTTTGCCAGTGCTGAGGCAAGAATCTCTTGCTTTGCCTGTGTTTGGATCTGGGTCACAGTTCTGGGTGGCAGTGCTGGGGTGAGGAGGAGCGCTGGTGTGGAGAGGAACCCCTCCTCATAGTTACAGGACAGAAAGGAATACCTGTGGTCACAGCCAGGAAAGGAGTAAACACCTCGCCCCTTATCATACACCACCTTGGTAGAAAACTGAAAATTTACAGGTCCCTACAAGTATCTCTGAAAACAGCTACACAAACCCCTGAAGCTTGGGACAGTACACTCTCACATTGGAAGCAGACTCTTACCTTAACAAAGAGTTTAAAACTCAAGTAATTGGCTGGGATCATGAGCAAGCAGCGCAAAAAGAGTCAGACTATATTATCTTACTTTGGTGAAAAAGAAGATCAAAATATACAACCAGAAGAAGACAACAAAATCAAAGCTCCTACATCCAAAGCCTCCAAGAAAAATATGAATCAGTCCCAGGCCTTGGAAGAGCTCAAAAGGGATTTTGAGAAGCAAGTAAGGGAAGTAGAGGAAAAACTGGGAAGAGAAATGAGAGTGATGCAAGAAAATCATGAAAAACAAGTCAACAGCTTGCTAAAGGAGACCCAAAAAAATACTGAAGAAAAATAACACCTTAAAAAATAGCCTAACCCAAATGGCAAAAGAGGTCCAAAAAGCCAATGAGGAGAAAAATGCCCTAAAAAGAAAAATTGGCCAAATGGAAAAGGAAGTCCAAAAGATTACTGAAGAAAATACTTCCTTAAAAATTAGAATAGAGCAATTGGAAGACAGTGACTTTATGAGAAATCAAGACACTGTAAACCAAATCCAAAAGAATGAAAAATTAGAAAACAATGTGAAATATCTCATTGGAAAAACAACTGACCTGGAAAATAGATCCAGGAGAGAGAATTTAAAAATTATTGGACTATCTGAAAGCCATGATCAAAAAAAGAGCCTAGACATCATCTTTCAAGAAATTATCAAGGAAAACTGCCCTGATATATTAGAACCAGAGGGCAAAATAGAAATTGAAAGAATCCACAGATCTCCTCCTGAAAGAGATCCCCAAAGGAAAACTCCTAGGAATATTGTAGCCAAATTCCAGAGTTCCCAGGTCAAGGAGAAAATATTACAAGCTGCCAGAAGGAAACAATTCAAGTACTGTGGAAACACAATCAGGATAACACAAGATTTAGCAGCTTCTACATTAAAGGACCGCAGGGCATGGAATATAATATTCCGGAGGGCAAAGGAGATAGGATTACAACCAAGAATCACCTACCCAGCAAAACTGAGTATAATCCTTCAGGGGAAAAAATGGTCATTCAGTGAAATAGAGGACTTTCAGCATTTGATGAAAAGACCAGAGCTAAACAGAAAATTTGACTTTCAAATACAGGACTCAGTGGAACATGAAGAGGTAAACAGGAAAGAGAAATCATAAGAGACTTATTAAGATTGAACCATTTACATTCCTGCATGGAAAGATGATATTTATAACTTATGAGAACTTTGTCAGTATTAGGGTAGCTGAAGGAAAAAAAATTATATGTATGTATATATAGATAGAGGACACAGGGTGAGTTGAAGATTAAGGGATCATATCTGGAGAATAAAATTAAGGGATGAGAGAGGATGATACTTGGAGAAGAAAGGGAGAGGTAAAATGGGGTAAATTATCTCACAAAAAAAAACAGAAAAGAAAAGTCTCTCACAGTGGAGGGGAAACAGGGGAAGGTGAGGGAATGAGTGAATCTTATTCTCATAGGATTTGGCTTAAGGAGAGAATAACATACACATTCAATTGGGTATGGAAATCTGTCTTACCCTACAGGAAAGTAGGGGGAGAAGGGGACAAGACAGCAGGGGGGTGATGGAGAGGAGGGCAGATTGGGAAAGGGTGTAATCAGAAGCAAATACTTCTGAGGAGGGACAGGGTCAAAAGAAAGAATAGAATAAATGGGAGGGCAGAATAGGATTAAGGGAAATAGAGTTAGTTTTTCACAACAGGACTACTATGGAAGTATTTTGCATAAGAACACATGTATAACCTATATTAAGTTGCTTGCCTTTTCAATGAGGGTGGGTGGGGAGGGAGGAAGGGAGAAAATTTGGAACTCAAAGTTTTAAAAACACATGTTTTTTAAAAAAATGTTTTCACATGCAACTGGGAAAGAAGAAATATAGGAAATGGGGTACAGAAGTCTATCCTGCTCTACAGGAAAATAGAAGGGGAAGGGGAGAAGAGAAGGGAGGGGGGAGAGATAGAAGAGAAGGCAGACCAGGGGAAGGGGTATTCAGAATGCAGGCTATTTTGGGGTGGGGGGAGGGGTGAGAAATTTGGAACTCAAAAACTTGTGAAAGTGAATATTGAAAACTAAAAATAAATTAATTTATATTAAAAAAAAAAGAAATGCAAGGTAATTTGGGGGGAGTCACACTAAGAGCTAAGGGGCAAAGATCATGAAAGGCCTTATGTAGAAAGGGACACTTAAGCTGAATTATGAAAGGAGCAGGCCATTCTAAGAGGCAGAGGTGAAGAGGGAGTGCATTCCAGACCTGGGGGATGGCCTGGACAAAGGCATGGAGGCTAGAGATGGAGTATTACATATGACAAACAACAAGAAGGCCTTCCTGGTCTCCTCTGCTAATTGATCCTTTTACTCTAAGGCCACCTTTCTTTTACTCTGTATATGTCTCATCTGTTCCCATTTATAAATAGTCTTTTCCATGTAAGCTTCTTGAGGGTAGGGATTGTTTTTATGCGTTGTGTGTGTGTGTGTGTGTGTGTGTGTGTGTGTGTGTGTGCATGAGCTTGCCTTTCTTTGCACCCCCAGCACTCAGAATAGCACCTGGCATATAGTAGGTGTTTAATAAATGTTTGTTGACTGATTAGACCTATAAGCATATGAAGGGGAGCAATGTATAATAAGGTAAAAAGGTAGGCTGATGCTAGCTTGTGAAGGGCTCTAAATGCCAACACAGGTATTTGTATCTGATCCTAGAGGTAAGAGGGAGCCAGTGGAGATTACTGAGCAGCGGAGTAACATGGTCAGACCTGTGCTTTAGAAACATTGTACTTTTATACCTGTGTGGAAGATGGATTTTAAGTGGTCAGACAGATTAGTGACAGGAAAAAGACAGAATGACGTTTGTAAAAACGCAAAGAATCCCCGTAAAAAATACAGAAACAGGAGGGAGAAGACAATTTACTGCTGCAATGCCAGCTGAAACTACGTATGGATGTTTCAATGTGGCATGTCCAGTGGGTTTTTAATACAGCACTTTTCAAAAAATTCCCCTGTTCCTCTTCAAGCTGACTTTCCATCGCCAGACCTACTGAGCTGAGAGTCTTGGTCTCCTGGGGATGTGCTCCATGTAACCAATCCACCTGATGATGGAGATGAGCATCAGCCCAAAGCTGGGAACTTCATACTTTTAAAATAATGCAAGGGTCTTCAAGGCTGACTCTCTTGCAGCTGAAATAATAAGTGCTTTGCAGTTCTAGGCCGTCAGGTCAGACCTTGGCACTGCATCTTGGGTGAAGGCTGTCCAAGTGGTGGACGGGGGAGGTCTGCCACATGGACAACTTGGCTGCCCTCCCCCGAGAAAACACACCCTTACACATATACCAACACGATGGAAGCAAAGAGTCTTCCTAATTCTCAGGGAGGCTTGAAAACACAGACATGTCTTTTTCATAAATAGGAAGTACCCGGGAACTATAAAGACAGCTAGGGGTAACTTACAAACTGAAGAAACTAAAACTGAGTTTTACCTGGATCAGTGAGTAACGGGTTTTTTTGTTTGTTTGTTTGTTCGTTTTGTTTTTGGCTAGGCAATAGGGTTAAGTGACTTGCCCAGGGTCACACAGCTATTAAGCGTCAACTGTCTGAGGTCAAATTTGAACTCAGGTCTTCCTGAATCCAGAGCCAGTGCTCTATGCACTGTGCCACCTACCTGCCCTGGTGAGTAACGTTTTCAACCAAAGGGAGACATTAATAGCTATTATCATATGTTAATAGTCCTGGGGGAGAATTTAAAGCTATCCAACAATCATACATGCAGCAGATCTCCAGGGTATGTCCCACTGTCAACAATGTGATCTTCTGACTACCTTAATGATCATGACTTTCTTCCTACACCAGATAGAAGAAGCAGTGGGAGTCCCTGATTCCCTAGACCCTGCAAGGTGGATAAGGACATTCACAGGGCTGGATAAAGCAATGAAAGGAAGGGCTAGAACCTATGTTCTCTCTTGACTGACTTAGTCCCATGTTAATCTCTGTATTTGGCCCCTAGGTTTTGGAGGAGGAGCAGGGGACAGTAAATCAGGCATACTCCAGAGCACAAGCCATAGGTGAATGTTTCTAAATGGATTCAAAGAATCCCAGTGATAGGGGCTAGTCTAACAAGTCCTGAATAAGACTCCCCTCTGAGGTGTGCCCAGAAGGTGGTCATCAAGCCCTTGCTTGAAAATCTCAATGAACACAGATTCCACCACCTTCTGAGGCAGCTTGTTCTACTCTTGGATGGCTCGAATTGTTTGGCAGTATCTCTTCACATGAAGCCTGTTTGCCTCTTTAACTTCCACCTTTTGCTCCTAAATTCTGTTGTAGGGGCCAAGAAGAACAAATTTAATCCTTTCACATAACAGTCCTTCAAATAGGTGAAGACAGTTATCATGTTTCACCTCCTCTCTGCAGAGCCTTCTCCAATAAATGCTTTAGTTCCTTCAGCTGAACCTCATATAGCATAAATTGAGGCCCTTTATAATCCTGGCTGCCAATGTCCTTCTTAAAATTTAGTACCTAAACCTTCCTTTTCTTATTTCATTTATTTATTTTAATATTTTTTATTATTATTAATAATATAGTATCCAACATAACTTAGCAATCAATAACTTCTCTAACTTATCCAGTTTATCAATAACTTATCTCCAGGATAGTAATGTACTTAAAATTTGGTGACTCGAACATGTTACCAGTATGATTTGACCAGGGTAGTGAACTGCTGGATTACCAGCTCCTAGATCTTTTTTTTTCCCTTTAGATAACTGCTATCAAGCCATGACTCACACTTTGTATACTCATGAATTTAATTTTTTGTGGTCCTTGTATATTTTTATTACACAAAGCATAATTTACTTTTATCCTTATCAAATTTGATTTTAGATTCAGTCCAATGCTCTGGCCTGTTCACAATCTTTGTGCATTATCTCTGTCTTCCAGTGTGTTAGCTAATGTTTCCAGGTTGGACTCACTTACAAATTTCTTTGGCAAAACAACACAGGAGGGGCAGCTAGGTGGCACAGTGGATAGAGCACCAGCCCTGGAGTCAGGAGGACCTGAGTTCAAATCCGGCCGCAGACACATAATACTTCCTAGCTGTGTGACCCTGGGCAAGTCACTTAACCCTAATTGCTTCACTAAAAAAAAAACACGGGAAATTTATACTGATAATGTAAGAAGCATAAGGCAGTGTGACCCTGTGGACAGAGTGTCATCTTAATTAGAAGGCCTAGCTTCTAGTGCCACCCCTGACACTACTAGCTGTGTGATCCTGGGCAAGCTACTTAACTCCTCCAGGGCTTAGTGCAACTTTCCCTATATCAATGAAATCACAAGATCTCTCCCAAAATAACTGGGAAGCATATAAATTATAAAATGTAAATAATTCTTTCTTTGCTAGTATATTTTGCCAGCTTTGGGGGTAGGGTCCTGGACCTGTGAATTTATCTTTTTTAGGAACTCTATAGTGTGAAAAGTCCTTATATTCAATAATTTCCTTCTATAGTATGATGCATCTGGTACTCTAAGAAGCTCATTTCTGAAGTCCTGGCGAGTGTCTGGAAATCTGTGGTTGCCAAATTTTCTACCCATTCTCCTTACTAAGTTAATACACATCTTGAAATATTAAGTCTAGCATGTTACTTCATGGGATACGTATAAAAGACAAGTGACCACATATCTGAAGACTATGTCAAACTTTAGGAAATGAAGCAGAAATGGGAACTAAAGAAGAGGAAAAAAAAGTAAGTGAAATGAGGGCAAACAGTCGAATAAATGGGAAGGTGTGAAGATATCAACCTTATTGGTTGCTTTTGGAATACCCACAGCCATATTATTCCCTAATCAGTGAGGCCACAGATCAGTTATTATTCTTGTCATTAATTTGCCTCTGGAAAAGAATATATGGTAAGCTATATAATCTAACTGTTCATAGGTGACAAGCTTGTAAAACCTGATTTTCTTCCCTTACAATATTCAGAGTATACCTTGGCACAGAGTGATGCCATGTTAAATTTCATTGTAAACGTGCTGGGTCATTTAACACGGGTCTCAGTTAATGGAATGCTAAATGAAGTCTATTTCAAATGCCAGACATGCAAATTGAACAGCTGGAAAACTTCAGATGGGAAATTAGCTGTGATCTAAATCAACCCACAACATGAAAATGCAAAATGGAAGTTTTATTTGGTACCCAACCTCCCCTGACTCTCAATGAGAAATCGTAGCAAAAATAGTGATAATGGCATCAGATAGTGCAGGCACTAAGACACACCATACAAAAGGAATACTTACCTTTGTCCAAGCTCTTGTCTCTAAACCAGCTTTTAGACAAACAGTGACAACAACATACTGTGGAAAGAGGAATGGAGTCAGAATGTGTTCTTGTGCTGTCACATTGCCCCCTTAGAAATCACCTTGCCCCACCCTTCATGGCAGTCTCAATGATGGAGCTACTTCAAAAAAAATCTGGCTTCTGGGGAACATAGGGGCATACTTCCCCCACCCAACAAAAGATTTTCACCTTAAGTAGTCCCCTTCTCTTCTGACCAAGTTATCGTCTCAAGGCTTAGGAAACTTGAGGTCATATCAGACCTGCTTATTTTATTCCTACCCATTCTAGTTAAAAAAACAGACCACTTGGAGGGGTTGGGAAGAAACATCCAAGGTTTTATTTCTTTGGATATACATACATACACATATATGCAGATAGGTACATACATATGTATGTCCTTAGACTATGACCTTTTACAAATTAATAGTCAAAAATTACTACCCAGTAATTTTTGTTCTTCAGTAATATACATCAAATAGTTAAAAGCACAATAAATTAAGATTAAAGAATCAGTAGTGCTCTTAAAAAGAGTAAGCCATATACCATTAAAGACAGTATATCTTAAACACTACATAAAAGGAAGTATATTGAAAGACTTACTGTATAAACAATATTTCCAACAAATAAATAGTCTACAACCCGACCACTCGCCAACACTGCATCTGAAAAACGGAAAAGTCATTATTATGTCCAATGATATAAATATAATTTTAAGAAAATCATCTTCTAAAAAATTCAGGATTGTAAAAGTTGAGAATGTGTATTTTCACACACATAAAATCAGAGATCACACATTCCAATGTGCAGAGTAGGCATTTGAATCTGATTTTATCCAGGGAACAAATACTGATTAGGTAGTATGATGGTTATATTTTAATGTCACATTGGATGTGACGCCCTAACGTTTCTTTCTTCTCCTGATGCCTCTGGCTTCTCCATTTCAAACTCTTTCCAAAAGGCTACTGTTAAATGTATATATGGTTTTTAAAAAAGAGTTATAATAAAAATGGAACATTTCAGCCTTTATTAGCATTTTTACCACGATCCCTGCCTAGTGCTCTAATTCTAACACCTGCTGTTTCTACAATAAAAAAATAAGCTGTAGAGTGAGTATCTTTAGAAGGTACCAATCTTGGCAGTTTTGCAAATGTCCATTTCTAATTCTTGCTGGGCTGGAATAGAAACTCCATATAAGAAGACGATAACTACATATATGCCAAGTGAATTTATGATTGGACTCAGAGAATGCTGAAGCATGATCATTAGTCATGTTTTTACATTTTACTAAACTGGGGGCACTTATACTCCTTTGAGAGAATCCTGGGTAATAGGAGTGGGATTTTATGGATTCAAATTTAATTTTTCTTCCATTTGTACTTTCCAGAATAGTAAGCACAATATACCACAATAATGAAACTGTAATTCCAATAGTTACATAATTCATTTCTACTAATACTAAGGCTGTTATAAAAAAGTCCAAGTTGTATTTCTATCGGTAAATTGCCCATTCTTTAGATCACGAAAAGTTTCTTCAGATGAATTCTTCCTTCATCTTCAAAACCAGAGCTGTGGCCTGTGGCTCTGACTTAAGTTTATAGACTCAACTTCATTTTTACCTTAGGAGCCTCAATAGCCACTCTCACAAATTCCCCTGTTCTTAATAAAACTGAGGGCCAGCCAAGCGCTAGTTTCATAGTTGAACAGTTGAGTCTACATTCCTGTGTACCTAAAACCAAGGAGGCAACTGAGGGCAGCTAGCTGTTGGAACCTGCTGTAGGCATGGATTCAAAAATAAGGATGAAGATTCACGGGGCCCATTTTTCATTATCCACCCTTTACACCCTCCACAAAACAAAAGAGTTGGAGAAAACCGTACTAAAAAAAAATTCACTTAGCCATTTTCCTGGTTCTTAACAATTATGTTGCAATTACCTTATTGTCCCAAATGAAATTTATTTGACTATTCACCTCTTGCTGGGTGTTTAGGTGTATCTCAGCCTTTTGCTATTACAAATAAAGCTGCTATGAAAATTTCTGAAGAAGTAGATAGTTGTTGTTTTTAATTTTTTTAAATTTTTTTTTTCATTTTTAGGCAATTGAGGTTCAGTGACTTGCCCAGGGTCACACAGCTAGTAAGTGTCAAGTGTTTGGTCTGAGGCCATATTTGAACTCGGATCCTCCTGACTTCAGGGCCAGCGCTCTGTGCCACCTAGCTGCCCAATAGTTCTTGTTTTTAAAAATACATTTAAGCTACATTCCCAGCCTGGAATTATTCGGTCCAGGGTAAGGATTGTTTTCTAACTTTTATTGTGTACTCTGCAGGACTGTTCCTCAAAAAAATTCTACAAGTTTGAAATTCTACCAGTGATGTATGAGTGCATCTGCTTCTCCACAACCAGCCAGCACTGAATTTCATTGCTCTGTGTGTGTGTGCGTGCGTGTGTGTGGCTAACATGATACGTATGAAGGGTCCAGTTATTCTCATTATGGCAGTTGATACTAGTTACCAGCTGGTCACTTAGTACACATTCACAATTGTGAGGAACTAAAATGTTGGGAAAAGTGTTGGTTTTTATATATAGCAGTTAACTATGGATTTAATGGCTAAAAAATTACAGCATCCGATCTCCTAATCATCCGTCCTCACTTAAGGCACATCTCCTGGTCTCACATCTCTTTATCTGTGAATAAAAGGGCGTAACTTGTAATCTTTCTAGGAACTACTTTTTTATTAATTTGTTTTAATTTACCAACAATCACTTCCATAAGCTTCTGAGTTTAAAATTTTTCTCCTCCTCTCTCCCAGCCTCCCTCCCCAAGACGGCACACAATATAGGCTATACATACATATTCCTGTTAAACATGTTTTCACATTAGTCATGTTGTAAAGAAGAATTAGAGCCAATAGGAGGAACCACAAGAAAGAGAAAACAAAACAAAGCAGAAGAAAAAACAGCCAAGACTATGCTTCGATCTGCATTCAAACTCCATAGTTCTTTCTTTGGATGTGGATAGCATTTTCTATCATGAGACCTTTGGAGATGTCTTAGATCCTTGCATTGCTGAGAAGGGCTAAGTCTATCAACTTTAGTCTTTGTAAAGCATGGCTCTTACTGTGTACAATGTTCTCCTGGTTCTGCTCACTTCACTCAGCATCAGTCCATGCAAATCTTTCCAGGTTTTTCTAAAGTCTGCCTGCTCATCATTTCTTATAGCACAATAATATTCCATTTCGTTCATATACCACAACTTGTTCAGCCTTTCCCCAATTGATGGACATCCCCTCAATTTCCAGTTCTTGGCCACCACAAAAAGAGGTGCTATAAATATTTTTGTACATGTGGGTCCTTTTCCCATTTGTATGATCTCTTTGGGATACAGCCCTAGAAGTGCTATTGCTGGGTCAAAGAATATGGACATTTTTATAGCCCTTTGGGCATAGTTCCAGATTGCTCTCCAAAATGGCTGGATCGTTTTACAACTCCGCAAATAAAGCATTAGTGTTCCAATTTTCCCACATCTCCTCCAACATGTATCATTTTCCTGTTTGGTCATGTGGCCAATCTGATAGATGTGATGTGATACCTCAGAGTTGTTTTGAGTTGCATTTCTCTAATCGATAGTGATTTAGAGCATTTTTTCATATGACTATAGATGGCTTTAATTTCTTCATCTGAGAACTGCCTGTTCATATCCTTTGACCATTTATCAATTGGGGAATGACTTGTATTCTTATAAATTTGACTTAATTCTCTATATATTTTAGAAATGAGGCCCTTATCAGAGAGACTGGTTGTAAAAATTCTTTCCCAATTCTCTACTTTCTTTCTAATCTTGGTTGCATTGGCTTTGTTTGTGCAAAAACTTTTCAATTTAATGTAATCAAAATTATCCATTTTGCATTTCATAATGTTCTCTATCTCCTGTTTGGTCATGAATTCTTCTGTTCTCCATAAATCTGATAGGTAAACTATTCCTTGCTCTCCCAGTTTGCTTATATCAGCCTTTCTATCTAAATCATGAACCCATTTTGACTTTATTTTGGTATATGGTGTGAGATTTTGGTCTATGCCTAGTTTCTGCCATACTCTTTTCCAGTTTTCCCAGCAGTTTTTGTCAAAGTATGTTCTCTATATCCCAGAAGCTGAGGGTTTATCAAATAGTAGATTACTGTAGTCATTGACTACTGTTTCTTGCATACCTAACCTATTCCACTGATCTACCACTCTGTTTCTTAGCCAGTACCAAGTAGTTTTGATGGTTGCTGCTTTATGACACAATCTAAGGTCTGGAGCAGCTAGGCCACCTTCCCCTGCATTTCTTTTCATTAGTTCCCTTGATATTCTGGACCTTTTGTTATTCCAAATGAATCTTATTATTTTTTCTAGCTCTATAAAATATTTTTTTTGGTAGTTTGATTGGTATGGCATTGAATAAGTAAATTAGTTTAGATAGAATTGTCATGTTTATTATATTAGCTTGGCCTACCCATGAGCAGCTGATGTTTTTCCAATTATTTACATGTGAATTAATTTGTGTGGAAAGTGTTTTATAATTGCATTCATATAGTTCCTGGATTCATTTCAGTAGGTAGATGACTAAATATTTTATGATGTCTACAGTAACTTTAAATGGAATTTCTCTTTCTACCTCTTGCTGTTGGGCTTTGTTGGTAATATATATAGAAATGCTGATGTTTATGTGGGTTTATTTTATATCCTGCAACTTTGCTAAAGTTGTTTATTTTTTCAAGTAGTTTCTTAGTTGATTCTCATGGATACTCTAAGTGTATCATCATATCGTCTGCAAAGAGTGATAGCTTTATTTCTTCTTTGCCTATTCTAATAACTTCAATTTCTTTTTTTTCCTCTTATTGCTAAAGCTAATGTTTCCAGTACGATATTGAACAACAGTGTCGATAATGGACATCCTTCTTTCACCCCCAATCTTATTGGAAATGCTTCTCACTTGTCCTCATTATATATGATGCTTGCTGAAGGTTTTAGGTAGATGCTACTTATTGTTTTAAGGAGGACTCCATTTTCTCTACGCTCTCTGGTGTTTTTAATAGGAATGAGTGTTGTATTTTGTCAACACAAGTCTACTTTGAAAGCCTATGACATCTGTGTATAGCAGACCCTGAGCAGAGCTAGAAAAATCACAGTATAGATAAGAACTTCTAAATAAACATAATAGAAGCAAAATACAAAATAGAAAGCCATGCTTGGGCAATTATTTGAAATGTCATAAAAGGCTCACAGAAAGAAAAATTCTATCAGATATGAATTGACTCAAGGAGTAAGTGACACAGGGCAATTGATTTGAGAAGATTTTAGAGTATGTTTTATGCCTATGCAATATAAGAAAAAATAAACACCAGATCTAGGAAATTCTACGTTCATAAGAATTGAGAAGAATTTGTAGAGGGGAAACCAGTCTTTCATCAGCAGAGGTAGAAAACTGAGTCCTAAACAATAAAATAAAGCGACTTAGGGGAAAAAAAGGAAAATAAATAATGTGGAACATAGTCACTTAAGGGGGATATTTCTAGAAAAGAATAAACAGCAAATTAGGTATACTATGGCAAAACCCCCCCCCCACTAAACTAAGATCCCTGTGTTTGAATAAAATAAAATAAACCACAAAAATCAGGGATGTGGGG